CTTCTTTCCCTACGGCTGAATACCCTTCTATCCTGCTGTGTATTCTATATTTTCTTTTCTCAGTCATCTGTTGTTTCTATTTGTGGTTAATGTGAATGATGCTCCAATGAACATCAGAGTGCAGGCGGACGTCTCTTTATGCCTTTGCAATCTCTCTCTCTCCCTTGTATATCTGTATGTGTGTGCGTGTGTGCATGTGTGTGTGTGCATGTATATATGAGTGCATGTGTGCTAGTTAGTTGTTTTTGTCCACTTGACACACATCTAGACATATTTGTGAAGAGGGGACCTCAAATGAGAAATGTCTCCATCAGACTGACCTACAGGCAAGCCTGTGGGGCTATTTTCTTGATTCCTGGTTGATGTGGGGGGATCCAACCCACCATGGAGAGCAAGCCGGAAGGTAGCACTCCTCCACGTTCTCCGCTTCAGCTCGTTCTTGCCTCTAAGTTCCTGTCTTGAGCTCCTATCTTAGCTTTCCTCAACTACCTGAAAATTTGAACATGGAAAAATACTTTCTTCCTCAAGTTGGAAGTTAGTAAGTGTTCTTTTTTTGTTTGCTTTTTAATAACATACAATGACTTTGTTGACTGCTTGTTTTAGTCAGTGTTTTATCACAACAATAGAAACATAACTAAGACAATACTTACATTTTTTGACTGTTGGAAACAACTTCTTACTGATTTCTATAATTGTTACACTATTTTCTATTCCTCAGCAGAGTATTGTACCAGGGTTCAAATTCTCAACATCTTTCCCAGTAGTTGTTTTTCTCTTTTTGAGAAGAGAAATTCATACTTAAAATGAGGTGATGTCTCAGCTTGTTATTAAGCATTTTCCCATATAATCTGTTGGATATTTCAATCTTTTTTAAGTAAAAATATCTGCTCAGATTCTTTGTTCATTTAAACAGTTGGATTATTTATTTTATTTTCCCCTATTTCTGAATTGTTTCAATTCCTTATGTTTTCTTGATATAAATGTGTGACAGAAAGGCTCCATTTTAAAAAGATGTCACTTCTCAAATTAAAATGCAGGTTTATTGGAAGTGCTGCATCAACTTTTTTTTTCTGTAGGTCGTTTAATTTTTTCTATTTGCACAAGGAAAAAACCAGGGATGTCTCTATATAGTATTGCACTTTTGCACAGATTTAAAGGAAATTAGTATTCATAGGATAAGCAAGTCTATGAGGGAATATATATCTATATTTTTTGAGTGGTTGGGTTTAGGGGTTTTCCAGTTGTTTGTAACTCATAAGTGTCTGGTAAAAGCTCTTACTCTTTTCCCTATTAAAATGAACAACTGTATGCACAGAGTCTCAACACAACTTTAGGTAACAGTTGTCCAGATGAAACTGCCTGCTCTAGGTTAAGTGTGGTCAGTGTTGGCAGTAGGCCTGGGAATACATTTGGCCAAGCAGTCATCAATGTGACTGTGAACTTGTCGGCAGTGACCCTGAAATAAGCTTAGGTTCTTCCGGGATCTCCGGGACTTCAGGAGGCCAGAAAGGCCTAGCAAGCTGTATTCTTAGGTACTGCTAGCAGCAGGACCAGGAGCACCATGAATAAGGGCAGAGAGGGAGGCAAAAACAGTAAGATCTCCTGTGCAATGCCTATATACTTATTGGGAATTTGGGGAAAGGCATTGCAGGAGCCAGATATTTTCACTTAAGTGTGTTATCTGAATAAAGGTGGCATGTATTATTGTAGTTACCCATGCGTGTATGCAGGGGTATGTGTGTGTGTATTTGGACTGAGCAACAAACAGCTGCTTGAACACAGGGAATGAGAGGCTCTGGAATGTAGGAGGCAGCACATTCCTCACTTGGTAGGGCAAGGAGAATGGGACCCCCCCCTCCTCTCTCAGCTGTCTCAGCTTCAGTAGACTGCAATCTAATCCAGGGGCAGGTGTTTAGCGCCATCAAACCTTCCTTGTAGCAAGCAGTAAAGATACTGGGTACTTAAATACATGTTTTACTTTAATTAAATAAGTTAGGATTGATTATGTTGCTTTTATTTTGCCAAATTGCAAGTTGAGGCAATAGTAGAAAAAAATGGAGCAGTTTGTATAAAATGGTTCAAATCAGACAACTAGTCATCTTTTCTTAGAATATTCATAAGTCATTCAAAACATTTCAGTTTTCTGTTTTAAAAACAAATTAGTGCATTTTGAAAGCAACTATTTGCAATCAGTAGAAAATGTTTGTGTGATAAATGCATATATATTACAATTAGTTAGGTCCCCTGGGTTCTCCTCTTTTACTTCAATTTTTCTTCACACAAATGAAAAACATAATTTTATATCCTCAATATAAAAGTAAAGCCGATTTTTAACAAATGGGCAGAAAATGTTAAGAAACATAATTCCACTCCCTGTCTCCTTTTCTGAAATCCTATTTGGTGTAGGAGTGCCCGGGAAACGCTGGGATTTCCAAGCTGAAAGGGGGAGGGAAGAAGGGAAAAGCGTTTGAGGCAGGAATAGAGAAAAGCCAGGATTATTCCTAGAAAAGAAAGAAAAGGCCAGTGCAGCCTGCCTCTGTGTTAACCATAGAAAGGCAAATTCTAACCACAAAAGAAGCAACTAGTTTGGGAACAAAACAAAGAGGAAATGAGTATCAGGACCTGGTGTGGCAGGGAAGGAAGGGAAATGCTGCCTCCTGTCGCAGTGCTGGCGGGAGTGTAGTTGGTGTCCTGATCTCACTGGTGACGTGACCGTCACGTGAGCAGAAGCAGACGTGTGCAGACATCGTTTTAATTCTGCTCTACGTTTGGTGTTTGCTCTCTCGGTGTTCTTGCTGAGCGGGCAGGCGTGCTGCGGAAGCAGGAGAAGTTGCCTGGATCCCAACAGGTCTGTGTTGCCAATGGGGGATGTCTGGGATTGCTGTCTTCTGGGTAGCTGTTGACAGAGATGCTAGCCACTCAGTCTGCTCTCTTCACGCTCTTGCAATGTCTTCGGACCGTCTTAGAACAAAAAAAAAAACCCAAAAACTCAAAACAAAAAACGGTGTACACTGGAGGGAGAGATTTCAGGGGAGACCCCAGATTAGGGTTTGGGAGTGGGGGGGGTGTCTTTGGCATGTTCTGAATCTGGAAGTGCAACTATTATGAATTGGTGCATGGATCCTTCCACGAAGACAGAATTTAGAAGCAGTGAAGACTGTTAAGTAGGGCCATTAAGTAGGGCGCAGTACCTTTAAGAGCTAAGGGATAATCGACATCGAATTTCTGCATGTCAGTGTAAAAGCTGAGTTTGCCCAGGGACCATAAAAGGGTGGTGATGGCTTAGGGCTTTATCATAACTCGGGATCATTACTGACTCTAGCAATCTACGTGCCTGTCCTCCCATGTCCCCACCTCAGGAAAAAGAACAGCTCTCATAGTCCTACAGAAAAAAATGGCTATCTTTGGGGGTGGGCTGGGTTGGGAAGAACAGAAGAGATCTGTCATCTTCCGTAGCTCGAGTTTTTTCTTACTCGCTGGGCCCGCCTCCAGCCCTGCGCTTCCCAAAGGGGTGTGGTTTTTGCTGGGAAAATGGCCGACCACCGCATAAAGGAATGCCAGGATGTAGTACTATAGAGTCAGGGTGGTGTCAGCGGAGTCTAGAGAACTGGGGGTTGGGTGAGAATTAAAAACGTGAAAGCCGTCTGATCATCCAGGTCAGATTTGGGAACGCTGGCATTTAGACGGTCTAAGTTTTGTGTTCTGTCTCTGCTTAAGCGCCTGTATCTGTTGGATCTTGCTCCTGAAGACCAGTCCGAACGAGAAGCAGGGAGGCAGAACCGATTTCCAGAATCAAGTAGGTCGGAAGAAACGTGATGACACTGTTTGGCGTGCAGGGGCGGGGGAGGGCTACTGGGGTAGACAATAATGATGACAATGAACTCGAGTGGATTTAGACTTTCCCTGCGTCTCTTTACTTTGGTCCTGAGCTTAGCAAGGGAAGCATTTTGCAGATAAGAAGCTGAGGAGATGGTTAGGTGGGACTAACTGTAGCGAGTGCTGGGTTGGAGACAGGGAAGACATTATTCTAAAATACTGTGTGGTACAGTGTCCTTGGTGTTGGTCTAATAGGCACCCAGTTTGTTAGTCCTTAAGTTTGGTGAACTTAGAAGCTGAGATGAGGGAGGAAAGAAATCTCGCAGAGCTGTGGGAAGCGATATATAATCGTCCAGTCGAGTGATAGGCTCTCTTTGAGACCGTTGGGGTGGCAGAAGCAAGTGTGGATGCACTTAGAGTGTATCTGATTTCTAGGTACCGCTGTCCATTTCTTTACAAGGAAGGGTGGATATTGTCATCTTTGGGAGAGGTGTCAGATAGAGTAGTGGGGAAGGGGCAGGAGACTGATCATCCAAGGAGGAAGGGGAAAGAGATAATGCCATATTCCTGTGCACTGAGGAAGGTAACAGAAGTTAAGAAAGACTGAAGCAAAGGGCAAGGGCCTGGGAGATGGATTATATCCTGGGTTGGGTGTGATTTATCTGGTTCTTGAATTCTCAGATCAGACCTCTGTATTCTTTTGTTTGCAGATCTGCAAGAAGCTGGAAAGAAGGAAGTGGCTACTGGGATCTCTGGTAGTGTTTGCGAGGGTGAACCTGTGACCCTGACTCAGGACATCTGGAAGGGTAAAGATCATAAGCAACATATCAATTTATTCAATTTAGCATTCTTGGGATGGGTAGAAGAACATAAGATTGGAGAATCTGGGTGTTTGGAAAATTTCTAAAGTTGCTTCCAGATAAAGGAAAGGAATAATGAAGAGGATACCAAGTCCCCAATGCTAGCCAGTATCTCTGTATGTTTGTATGTTTGCAGGCAAGTGATTCAGTCTCCTTGTGTACAAAGGCACAATTGGATAAGTCACAAGTCTGAAATCTTCTTTCCCTCCAGATCTCACTGTATCTGCTGTTGTAGCTTCTCCTACCTACAAAATCAGAAGACTTTACCCCTGACCTGGGACTATTGCGGACCAGAGCAAGCCAGCTTTGTACCCAGGTTAAGGAATTCACCCCAGCTGTACCATGGGCCGCACCCGGGAAGCTGGATGTGTGGCTGCGGGCATGGTCATTGGGGCTGGTGCCTGCTACTGTGTATACAGACTGACTTGGGGAAAAGACGAGAATGAGAAACTGTGGGATGATGAAGAGGAGGAAGAGGAGGAGGAAGAGGTGGAAGAGTCTTGTAGTGACAAACTAGAAACGGGGGGCAAAACTGAGAAAGGAGTTAAAACTAATGTTGGGGTGGAGGCAGGAGACAAACCTCAGGATGACTCAAAGGCCAAGGTTGATGTAGATGTGGGACCTGAGAATGGTCCAGGTGTAAAGAAGGAAGCACACCCAGAATCCCAGGGTGGAGGGGGCCTAGAAGATAAGGCTAAGGCCCTTTTCAAGATCCTGAAGGAACAAGCAAGTGCGAAGGCAGGCAGAGGGATCAGGGTTGGTAATATCTCTGGGAGAAGGACCCTGACATTGAGTTTGCCCTGCCCAGGAGGCAGGGGTGGAGGTTGCCACCCTGGCAGGAGTGGCTCTAGGGCTAAAAACAGGGCAAGTGGAAAACCAAAGAAAAAGAATCGAACTAAGAGCACCAAGACTCCAGCCACAGTGTGGCCTGTACGCAGGACCAAGTTCAGCTTTCCCTATAAAATTGATGATATTCTGAGTGCTCCTGACCTTCAAAAGGTCCTTAACATCTTGGAGAGAACAAATGACCCTTTTACTCAGGAGGTGGCCTTGGTCACACTGGGTAACAATGCAGCATATTCATTTAATCAAAATGCCATACGTGAATTGGGTGGGGTCCCAATTATTGCAAAACTGATAAAAACAAGAGACCCCATTATTAGGGAAAAGACTTACAATGCCCTTAATAACTTGAGTGTTAATTCCGAAAATCAGGGCAAGATTAAGACTTACATCAGTCAAGTGTGTGACGACACCATGATCTGTCGCCTGGACTCAGCCGTGCAGATGGCTGGACTGAGACTGCTAACCAACATGACTGTGACCAATCATTACCAACATTTGCTGTCCTATTCTTTTCCAGACTTTTTTGCCTTGTTATTCCTGGGAAATCACTTCACCAAGATACAGACTATGAAACTAATTATAAACTTTACTGAAAATCCAGCCATGACAAGAGAGCTGGTCAGTTGTAAAGTACCATCAGAATTGATTTCCCTCTTTAATAAGGAATGGGATAGAGAGATTCTTCTTAACATCCTTACACTTTTTGAGAATATAAATGACAACATAAAAAGTGAAGGGCTTGCATCCTCCCGGAAAGAATTCAGCAGGAGCTCGCTATTTTTTTTATTCAAGGAGTCTGGAGTTTGTGTTAAAAAAATCAGAGCATTAGCCAGTCATAAGGATCTGGTGGTCAAAGTCAAAGTTCTCAAAGTGCTAACCAAACTGTAATTTGTCATGTGCCCCAAGCCCTGCTGACATAACGTTTCTTCAGTCTGCATGTGGGGACAATGTGCTTTGTAACTTCTCCGATTTTCATTGTGCTTGCGTGGCAAGGAGATTCTCTGAGCTGCTATTTAGGGATGATGAGCATCACAGATTATCAATATCCCTTGATGCTGGCTTTAGACTGAGCCATCTTAAATATGCCAAATACATATTAGAGCTTACACAAAGAAAGCATTTATGAATTCAACTTGCTTACCTAGGTGGAGATATTTTTATTGGTTGCCCAAACTGACAGTGAGGTAACTATATGTCATAAATGAGCTATACTTTTGTATTGGTTTAAATTTGTTCATCTAAGAGTTGTGCTTTATCAATAAAGTTATGTTTAAGTAACAGAGAAAAGAAAAGACATTGTCTTCTTCCTTGGGCTCAAGGTGTGTGTGTGTGTGTGTGTGTGTGTGTGAGAGAGAGAGAGAGAGAGAGAGAGAGAGAGAGAGAGAGAGAGAATACATAAAATTAAGGACTATTTTTGTATGTTTATAAAATCCGGAAGATCTTCTAGTCACGGGCAAACCCTTCCTATTGGTGCTAAGAGGCAGCAGAAACTACTGTATACTGTGGTACCCTGGGAATGTTTTAAGGGGAAGGGTAAGTTTGAAGAATAAGAAACAAAGGGTCTGAAGATTATTGAGGGCAGACTGGTGGAAGAAAGGCCTGGAGGTGGGACTTCAGCTTCAGAGAGCAGGCTGGTGAACGTGTGTCAGGATTAAAGAGGAGGTCCTTATAGAAATATTCATAAAACATCAATGGAGCTGACAGGTTATTAGGGAAGGATTTTTACAGATAATTGTTCGAGGATAACGGAAGATTAGCAGAACCACAGGCATGTGTAGATGCTGCTAAACCTGACACAAAGAGCCCTATTTAAGAAGGTTGTCTTCCCAGGAGCCCTCTGTTCAACACTCGATTGATGCTACCCTTCTTATCAATCACTGTGGTCAGGAATTATTGCTTGCTTCGCCTCAGGCTATTTGAGTACGTGCACGGTGTACTGTGCTCTGTGGATTCGAGTGATAATGTCCCCTGTTACTCTCAAATAAGAATCAGAATTCTTGGGGGGAGGAGGAGAAGGGTGGGAGGAGGGGGAGAAGGATGGGAGGAGGGGGAGAATTGTGGGAGGAGGGGAAGGGAAATGGGAGGCTGGGAGGAGGTGGAAACTTGTTTTTTGTTTATGTTTTTTTTCTTCTTTTCGCAATAAAAAAAAGAAAAAAGAAAAAAAAAGAATCAGAATTCTTTGGTTAATCTCTCTCTGGTGTTTCATTTTCATTTATTTGTTTTTATTTAGGTTGATTATAAGATAAGCTGGATCCAACAAGTGCTGGGTGAGCCTAGTGTGGGGCGTGGCCCACTTCCTGATGCACCAGTGTTTACCTGGAAGGTTGCAGCTCTCATTTTAGGAAGAGCAGGATCCTGGCCTGTGATTGTCTGTGTTCAGGGAGAAGTCAGTTTCTTCTCTTTTTAAGGATGATAAAGTACGATTAATAAAAACTCAGAGAGAGAAATCGGGATTCAACCAGAAGATCCAAAAAAGCAAATCAGTTACTGGCTTTTACCTCCACCTCAGTTCGAAATGGTGATCCTGCCTCCAGGAGTCTCAGAACGAGACTGTGACTGAGAGCTGTCTCCTCCTGTTTTATAATCCTCTCTAGTGCTGGGATTAAGGGCATGCACCATTACCACCTGGTTTCTATGGCAACTAGTGTGGCTACTGGGATGAAAGGTGTGTGTTATTGCGGCCTGGTCTAGAAGGCTGGCCAGTGTGGCTGTTTTACTTTTCTGATTCTCAGGCAAGTTTTATTTATTAAAACACAAGTGAAATGCCACTATAGGATGATGTTAAGAGACTCAGGGGATAGCCTGCTATTTTGATTTTCTCATCAAACACTTTTAGGATCTGTGTCCATCTAAATGTGCACTCAAGGATAATTTTCTAAGAATAGGGCTCATTTGGTTAAATCGTCCCCACTCCCCATGAAGCCGAACTTTTCAAGACCCAGGGAACAGGCTTTCTTTAATTCATACGTCATCGGCCTTGTTTCTAAAGAAACTCCAGCGTGGGGTAGACAATTGATGCAGGTGATATACATTTCATGTTCTTGACTCTCTGGTTTTGCTAGGTTCTCTGGAGAGTGGCTTTGAACATAGCGAAAACATAAGATTATTTTTTCATGCTGGCTGCTTACATTACACTTACCCCACATCCCAGACTGAAGTTTGTCCCTGGTTTGTCTGTTTAAGTTGTGGCTCTTCCTTGCTTTTGAGCCAGAACAGTCTCAGCTTTATTGTTAGGTCTCCTGTGTGCTCAGGCTGAGGGCGAGGTGGGGGCAGGGAAGGGGTATTTACAACCGACAGTGCCTCACCCTCTCCAATGGGGCCTTGTCAGGTTTGTGTTGAGAGTTGGGCCATGTTGGTGCTTGAAGAGGGGTGTGGGAGCATTGGGAGGGAAGGCCAGGGATGGAAGCCCTGGTGGAGGGCTAACTCTGTCTGCATAGGTTCCTGCAACTGTAATTTGATCCCCTATTGAGAGGGGGCCGACCAGACCATTACCATCCTGGAAGGTGAAAGAGGAGCTCTAATAAAGGCAGCTTTGTTTGAGCTTGTGGCCTCCTTATTTACTCAGTCTACTGAGCTTGCAGAGGGTATAGCTTGTTGTCAAATAAAATGGGACTTCCTTTTCAAAATAAAACACAGAAAGATAATTTATTACTGTGAGAAATAGAATTAATAAGCACAACATATTCTTAATGTTTCCTGCTTATAGCATTTTCTCCCTAAGATCAATGTTGATTACGATCAGCGTCTTCATAGAAGGTTGTTTATTTAATGGTCTGGAATTTGGGTAATTTCGATAGATACTGCTCCCATCAAAGTAGGAGGCCTGGTGGAGAACTGCTTCATTTAGCTTTGTTTATGTTTTCTTTTTCCTGAAAATGTGATTAGTGACTGACATTTCCTTATTTTCTCTTTTTAGCTTCTAGGTTTTGGTCATACTATAGAATACCTAGGATCTCATAAAATATATTATTATTTTTATAAATGTATTTAATGTTTTATTGAACATATTGCTTATGGGACTGCTCAGTGGTTAGAAGCACTGACTAAGTTCTTCCAGAGGACACAGGTGTGATTTCCAGTACCCATATGATGACTTACAATCATGTGTAAGTCCAGTCCCAGGGGGCCCAGCACCCTTTCTGGCCTCCGTGGACACCAGGCATGCACACGATGCAGATATACACGCAGGTAAAATATTAATACACATAAAATAAGAAAAATAAATCTAAACAATAAAACCTTAGTTATATCTAAACATGTACATTACAAGTAAACATCGTTTTCAATACAATTTCCAGGACAAAGGGCTTGGTTTGTGGAGGGGCTTTTATATTTCATCAGGCTTTGACTATTTGTGACATGTTGCTCTATTCCATCATAGAAATCTTATTTTTATGTCTGCTACCTTTGAGGAGCAGCAAAGCTCTGTCTTTTACCACAGAGCTCATTTCATTAAAAATTAAAAGTCTTCTAGTTTCTTTGCTCAGGACTTGAAAATAGAGCCAGAAACAAAACCTTACCTGGTGACACCTTAGTCAGATATGCAATATGAGGAACCACGAGTAAAGAAAAGGGGGAACTAAGGTAAGCATAGATGAAAAGCAAACACAAAAGTTAGTTACTGTCTAGACATAATGTTTCAAAGCACAGTTGATGAAATTGCAGTTCCCGAGAACAGGGTCAGCGGCAGGAAATGTAAAGCGTGTGTGTGTTTATTTTATGTGGTGCTAGAGAGAAAATCCAGGGCTTTTGATAAAGTCAGGTGAGCTCTCTGCCACTGAGCCACATTCCTAAGCCTCTGTCACCTTTCCCAAGTGTCTTATCTCTTGGTCAAAGTCTGCCTTACAGGACATTATTTTTTGTGTATGTCCACGGGTGGGTTCAGGCTCGCTTTGTGCCTCCATTACCTGTTAGGTGGCACTATGTCATGTGACAACTCAAGCTAGAGCTAGAAACAGGGGTGGCAATGATTTGGGCTCTAGGAATGTCCAAGCATGTGAATCTTTGTTTTCTTTCTTCTGGCCAGAAAATAAAGCAGTTAACCAGGCTCCAGGATTAGGCAAGAGTCAAATGGGTCTAGGATGGCACATAAATTGAAGTAGGAAGGAGATGCCATTATGCTCACAGTCTTGTGACTGCTGTGGGAAACCAAGGGAAGAAATGCCCAGGCTGTGTTCTAAGGAACAGTTTTACTCTATGTGTACAGCAAGGCCCAGGGTATATTAGTCCCAAAATTCCAAACCCTTCACTATTCAAAGATTGGGACTTTTATACACTTTTTTGTGTCTTCTAGTTAAATACATTGTGATTTGGCTATTTTAGAGTAGGAGGCAGTGATTGCTAGAATGAGAAGGGAGGGCAAAGGCAAGGGGCTTCAGGGGAGCTATGTGGTCAGTTGAGCATGTGACAGCTTGCACACATGCCTGTGCTGGACACTGATCAGACCGCATGGCTGTTTCTTGTTTTTCTTTCTCACAGCCCTCTAGGGGACCCTCCTTCTACCACATTATGAGTCCATTATGAAGGGTTCTATAAGGACCACAAGATAGGATACACTACACTTAGGGCTTTGAAAATTATTTGGTTTGGAAAAGTGGTCTGGACCAAAATTTTGGAGTCAGCAATTGAAGTGCTCATATAAACGATTTTCCCTTCAGGAAGCATTACATTAAATGTGCTAATCAGCACATTTGAGTATTATAAAATTTATTGGCCAGTCTTCTTACTCAACATATAATATCTATGCTGTCAATCTGTGCATTACAAACAGAGAATAGACACTAAAATATAATAGCTAAAGCATAATTAAATCTTGAAGATATGAGTAATTTTAAATCATTTTTATCAAGTATTGGTATTAGGTTATTTTGCTCGATTTTCACATCCATAATCATATCTCTATCTTGATATAGAAAGCTATATCATTTAAA